CTGCAGCAGCAGCAGCAGTAGTAGTGATAGTCAGCAGCAGCAACAGTTATAGTAATATTAGAAGCAGCAGAAGCAGTAGTAATCACTAACCTCGTGGACTTAGTTTGACCTTTGTTTGACTAAATTGTTTGATGGAGTTCTCCATATACAGTCTGTAAGTACTGTTGAAGTCTTGCTGCCTGACATTCTTCAGAGTAATGGTGAGAATCCCTCGAGGCTGTTCGGTGTAAGAGAACCGGGCTTTGTATCTCTTGGGTCTAACCAGTCCTGTATATAGGGGAAAGGAAAAAAACCAATTGAAGGACCCCATAGCAAAACGCTTTATATCCATTAAATAACTATAATAACAATAACGATAACAACAATAACAAATAATATAACAATAATAATAATAATAATAAACATAAATAAAAATGATATGGCACAGTCTATAAAGCGCCAAACCCCGAATAAAGTACACGACATGCTTTGAGCGCTTCTCAAATACTATAGCAACACATTAACAGTAGGTTCTACATGAGTTATACATGAGTTTTGACCAAAAGAAATATTTTTAACCTCTTCCCTGCCGTGCCCGCGGAATTTACAGGCTTGAACCATGTAGCGCTGTGCCTAAGGCCCGTAGAATTTACGGGACTGTGACAGAGGTTGTTTTGATACCAATTATAAGGGAAGTTACTCACATTTCAACTTTATTGTGACCGTTGGTGAATTTTTATTGCATTGTGTATATTTAGTGAACACATTTCCAACCTCACTGCGAGACTGTTTTTTCTCATATAAATTTTTACACGTTATTATACATTTATATTAAATCATGTATAATACTTTGTTTTACGTTCATGCATGTCGATTAATTTCTAAGATGTGATGTCTTTTTCGTTGTATGCGCATTGAGCATTTTTTAGAAAATGGAAAAGGGCAGTATAAATGCTATTTATTATTATTATTATTAAGTTACTGCTAAAATCTTGTAGGGGAGAGTGGGGAGAAGTGGGCCGTGGGGAGAAGTGGGCCGTGGGGAGACGTGGGCCACTCCCTGAAGAGCCAAATCTAGAGGTCAAGTGCCATTTTGCATATAATAAAGAAAAAACTAACAAAAATTGTTTCCACTCCAGGAAGCAACTTACTTTCTCTTGCCGAGCGGTTTGAGTGAATGTCTTGAGTGAATGTCGTGGAAAAGACGTTTCCCTCAAGAAAAAGTTGAAATACTTAATTTTTTAAACTCGCAACTTTACCATAGAGAGGAGCAAAAAAGATCGGGTAAGTATAACAATAGTTAATGAACTTATCTAATTACTTATTTTTCGTTTGTTCTGCATGTTTTTACCTGCCAGTTGAAGAAACATACATTTGAATAGTTAGACTACAAATGAGGAGAAATTTAGAAGTGGACTACCATCGGCCCAGTTCTCCGCACACTTCTCCCCAGTTGTTGAAAAATAATCTTCAATACATTTCAATGCTATTTTAGTTATATTACCTATTTTTTTAGAATATAAGATAAAGATAGAGGCTTAGTAGTTTTCCTTCATTGGTGCTCTCCCCC